CTGAAACATTTTCAAAAGTTAAGTTGAAAAAGTTCTACTTTCTATACGAATTTTTAACTGTTTGCGCCCCCCCTGTATAAAGGGAAATGGTCCAATTTAAAAAAAAGTATGTCGAATGAAAAAGGGATATAAATATTATTTCTCATAAAATAACTGTGTTGGTCCATACACTTTTCAATAAGTTATAACATTATAAAGTTAAAAATTTTAAATATAAAATCGAGAATTTTAACACAAAAATAGCATACGGTAGCCATTTTCACCGTGAAGACAAAATGAAGTCCGAAATTTTTTTCCATAATAAAGTATATTACATAAACTTAAATTTAAAGTATATATAAAAATGTCAGTATTTCCGAAACACTTTCAAAAATTAATATGAAAAAGTTAATTTTTTATGAAAAAGTTGTCATTTTGAATGCCCCTGTGGCAGGTAAAGGGTCAGATTTATAAAAAAATTATATCAAATGATAAATGAAGACATTATGCATCTATAAAAAAAAATTATAATGTTTCGGTCATTTTTGAAAATGTTATGACAGATTTAAGTAAAAAAAATTTCGAAAATTATCGATTTTTAAATTCGTAAAATTTTGGAGATTCCCCCCTATCTATATAAATAATTTTGTTAAGTTTATATCAAATTTAGAATAAGTAAAAGATTGAGTTACAAGTATTTTAATAATAATTAAAGTTTTTATTATAAACATTTTAAAATACAAGAAAAAATTAACTTTTTTTTTTTTACTTATTAGAGACAAAATAATAATAAATACTTAAAACAAAATCTAAACTGCTAATATTATTTTTAACAAAAGTAATTCAAAATATTGGCTTGATCAAAAGTTCATGTAGATAATTGTACACATTCTAATTCCTCTTATATGTAACAAAATAATATTTTCAAAAAAGTATATACAAATTTAAAATTTAGCTTCAATGCATGAAATTTAAAAAAAAAAAAAAAATGAAATTGTGATAGAAATAAAAAAAATTGTCTATTCTTGCTGCTTGGCTTAAAAAAAAAAATTGTCATAGTAACCGTTTGTACATTTATTAATAATGATAATCAGTTTTCAACATAATTTGAATCCAAATGTAGAATAATAATCGAATAAGGTAATAATTTATAGTGTTGTAAAGTAATAATCAAAAATTATTGATCAGAAATGGCTAAATTTATAACACGTACAATTAGAAATGTCAAGAAGAAATTTGGAATAAGAAAACATAATTAAGGGTAATTTTTTGTACTTTCAAACGATTATTAATTTGATTTTTTTTATTTATGATAAATTTATTTTTTAGTTAACTTAATTCTTATTAACGCTATATTTTATTCAGTGACATTAGTAGACTGTGAATCACAGACTATAGTCTGTTATATATTTTATATACAGGGTAATTCATTAAGGATAAGACCCTAATTTTCTTGGTAACTATTGAAAATTTTTAATTTTTGGTAAGGAAAATATTGTTTAATTCAAAAAACTCTACAATAATATGTAGTAAAAACATAATTTTTTTCATCCCTTCAAGGTTAAAAAAAATTAACCTGAATTTTCTTAAATAGGAACCCCTATTTTGAATTTGTTATTATGATTTAAAACAAAAATACAAACAACTTTGTTCTGATAATTTTTTTTTTCAATCAACCGTTTGTTTGCCACAGCTTGTTAAAATTAAATGATTTTGGACTAAATTTCTATTATTATTTTACTGTTTTGAATACAGAAGTCTCTATTTTTAATATAAACTAATTTTTATTGACCAGGATATGACATGTAAAATAATTTTTTAATAATTTACGACACACTAATTGAGAGATAATAATAATAGATTCAAATACGGTAGCCATTTTCACCTTGATGACAAAATAAAGTCCGAATTTCTTTTTCCATAATAAAGTATATTACATTAGCTTTAATTTAAGATATATATAAAAGTGTCAATATTTCTGGAACACATTCAAAAGTTAAGTTGGAAAAGTAAATTTTTTGTGAAAAAGGTGTCGTTTTAAATCCCTCCCTGTGGGCAGTCAATTTAAAAAAAAAATTATATCAAATGATAAATAAAGACATATCTATATGTATCATCTATAAAAAAAGAAATTATATTTATTTGTTCATTTATGAAAAAGTTATGGCAGTTTTAAGTTAAAAAAATTGAAAAAATTTCGGAAGTTAGCAATTTTGTAAATTTGTAATTTTTTTGGAGATTTCCCCCATTTACGGGGAACGAGGGAAATTTTTTCAATTTTCGAGAGTAATGTCTTCGACTAGATACGATTTGTGATCTTTTGACATATCGTTGAAAGAAATCGGTTCGGTGAAAGCTGAGGAAAAGTGGTAACAGACACAAAAAAATAAATAAATAAAAAAAAAACACATCATAGTAAAATTAATATCTTCTCGGCTTCGCATCGAAGCTAAAATAATACCCATAAAAACCATACAAGATCCCCCTCTAAAAAATTAGATCTCATAAATTGTTTGATACAATTTTATTATCTTAGCTCTGACTAATTAGCAAACTAGTTTTAATTTTTAAATCAATTTAAAAAAGTTTTGCGAAGAAGATTAAATATTTCAGACAGAAAAAATACTTAAAATAATTATTAAATAATTTCAAACTAGTCATCGATATTAGACATATTTTTTGCGTACATAATTTTGTATCGATGTTGGATTCTGCTTAATATAAACTATGGTTAATCCAGCTACTATTTAGTAAATCCATAAAAACATAACAAATACTCGACAATTAATTTAAGGGTATTATACAAAATTATCTTTATAGTACTGCACGATATCATTCTAAATATTTTTGTAAATTCTAAAAGTAGAAGAAATAAAATTGAATATAAATCATGTTTAATTGTGTTGTTATTGGTATCATATCCTAAGTCCCCTATTCTTTACTTTATCAATTGTGGGCTAATTTAGAAATATATGATATCTTTTATCTAATACTTTTCACGTTTTTATTCATTCTTCTATTGTATTTATTTGTGATTCGATGCATTGAATTGTATTCTAACAACTGTATAAATTTTCGTAAGATTTTGAGTTTGACTCTTTCCTTTTATTCGTGAATAATACAAATAACAATCGGATAATTGACTATATTGAATGATTAAACTTTGATCAATGACATTATCATCGATATACAAAAAATGTTGACTATAATTTAATGTATTTTAATAGCAAATAGTTTATTTATATCCTATAAATTCGTGCGAATGCGCGATTATTTTTAAAAGTTCAGTATAAACAACAGAATAGTCAATATTATCAGCTGAAGATTTATGACTACCTCTCTATTAGTGGAAGTTACCATTTTAAATAACTGTTACATTCAAAGTTACGCTTACAATTTAATATTTGTATTATATCGTGAAATAAAGAGCAATTGTAAGTAAGTTTTTTCAAAAAAAGAAAAAGTAATGTAGAAGTACATAAATAATATATTGGGCATCGTGTCTTTAACACATTCTAGAATAGATTTCAGATGAACAATTATTTTTATTAATGTAAATAACATTCTACGCGTCACTTAATAGTTTTACTTCCGAAACTATACTCTAACAACATACATTACTCGTTAATTAAAAATTATTTAAATGCACTTATTTTTAAAATTTACTAAACAAACTTTAATTTAACAAACCATAAAAAATAAATTTGAATAAAAACATCGTTCGCAAAGTCTATAACAATAAAACTTTTTAATAAAGGAAATAACATATTTACTGATATACAACAGTACTAAAGTTAATTAACACAACGCCCTAAAATGAAATTTATAGGAAGACGAGGTAGAGTAACTTACAGGCCAGTCAGAGGCCAACCACTTCTCCATGTAATACATTTCCCCGCCGTCACCTACACTTTAAGCAAGTCATCGTTTGTCCTTTCTATAACTATAAAATCAATAGACTTATATCAACAATAACATTATAACAAGTCGTAAATCATACCTCCTACATTTCAATATTACCATATCACCTAGTTTTGTAAATATATATATATATAATCTCAATGTCACTCAAATATCTAATAACTCACGCAGTGCATGCGCTTACGCGACATTTTATAGCAATTAAATAAATGAGTTTTACGGTTGAAAAGCCGCCCGTGTATATACACAGAATTTCAACAAAAATTTTACAGGGGCTCATTGTATGAAATTTTTCTCTCCCTAAATATTATTTATATATAGTCATGTATGTAATTTTCTGAAATCATGGAGGAGCTAAGCCCCTCCAATCTCTCCTAGCTTGCGCCCACAATTATATATTACTGTTGCATAATCGGATTCTGTAATAAAACTAACTGTAAGAGTTAACATGCATCTTGGTCGGTGTAAAAAAACGGGAGAGCTCGCAGGTCACAATTGGGATCAGCATCGCATATACGAGCTGTTTAACAACATTTCTATAAGAATGTAAGATGTAAATACACATTAGAGACAAGAATACAGAATCTCGTTTATGATATTTTCTGGGAAGATTCATGGCGTTTTGGTAGGAAAAGTGATTACTTCAATAACCGGTTTCCGTCTTGATTGCTGTCCACGACTGGTGTTGGAGGTTGTCGATTTTCGAAGGTTCGGTCTTGATCGGAGCCAAACTACCGCACTCTCTTCCACCACTTTGTCCAGACTATCGCCCAACTATAATATTACCGGCCAGGTTACGTAACAACGAATTTGGCTGATAGACGGTCGCCAGCGTCCGACCCGTTTCGTTTGTGTGTGTGCGCGCAAGTTTAAATGTTTTTTCAACTAATTTAAATACCATTTTAGCTGAAAAAAATATCAAGTTATCCATTGGATTGTTGCGGTATTTTAAAATACAGGAACGGACATAGCACGTAAAAATGGTAATTACTATAGAATTTAATCATCATTTCATAAATCAGCTTTATCTTATAACTAATACATGATGTGTCAAGCAGTTGTATACTGCTTGCACAATTTTACATTATCGCACCTCGTGCTCGAGTATTGCAGTGCGTCTAAACGTGTAAAAATAAAATAATTATTCCTCGTGAAAATTGAATCTACGAACAAAATAAAACCGTCGAATCCAGTTCGCCGCCAATACTCCGCAAATACGTTCTGTAGTTGCGAACGCAGTTTTTTTTTTTTTAATAAAACACCAAATGAAACTTAATTGATATCTCAAAGTCGATAGCTTTACATGTCGGCGATTTTTTGCATAATTTTGTGTAACTCGAACTTAAATTTTTCTAATGGTGTTCACCAGTAAACGAAAATACAAAAATAGAGCAATGCCGGCGGAAGTCGTTGATGATTTGGATTTTTTAATTGTAAGATAATATCAACTTTATTTATTTAAATTGATATACCTTAAAATTTTCATACGCTTTCTTATACCAACACTAAGATATTACAACTAATAAATAATTGATTTATAGGATATGAAATTCAAATTTAATAATTGTTAATATGTGTGTATTCACTTTTCTGGGCACTTGTTAGAGTATTATAATTACGCTTTATGTAAAATTTTTAATTTGAGGAAATTATCAACATGTTTTTGATCATAATTTAAATTATTCATATTAATTATATAGGCTTAAGAAATCTTATTCAATATCATTAATAATGATAATAAATAATTGTTGGTCTTTAAAAAGATTTAGTAGCAATACATTACTTCAACTGTTTAATTATAAAGTAAACATAATAATCTCAAATTTAAATGAAAAAAAGCTTATGAAACAAATTTATATATATATATCATAATTAAAGTTTATCATAAGTATATTATTATATTAGCCATACAAATTTCAAAATTAAGTTGCTACCTACTATTTAATAATTTCAAGAATAAGAATTTTTTAGACCATTTTAATAATGATAGTCGGATAAGTGTTCTATAAGTAATTAAATAACAGTTATTATATAACAATTGGGTTATGTTTACGTTTATCATTTTTACATTTCTGCATATTTTAACAATTTTTTTTTACATTAATCGGTCAATATCTGTTAACCTATAAACAATCTTCCACTAATACTAATATATGTATAGGGTTGCGATTATATGGTCAACCTATTTCATAATAGTATAATAATTATTTTTTGTTGTTAAACATACTACTAGATATTCCAAAAAATCAAAATTTTTTTATTAAAATTTCCATGAGCTCTTAATAACCACTACCTATAAGTTAGCATATACAATGTTAAACAACTATAATTCTAAAATTCAAAAATTAATTATTAAAATATATATTCATTATATCTATTTTAAATGCATAAACAGAAAAAAATATTTCATAGTTAATTTAGCAACAAAGTAATTATATATTTAAAATAACTAGCTTATATAGTTGACTAATATATAATATTAGTAATATCTAATATAATATAATATCTAGCTGGAATTACTAAATAAACGTAATTAATTGGTTTTTAGTTGTTTAAACTATATAAAAAGTTTCCTAACTATGTAATTTTTTTAATGCTACATTAACTATAATTTTCAGTTGGACCAACTTTATAGTTTTTTTCTGTGTAATTATGAAATGCACATACATAGAATAACAAAACCTCATAAGTCTATTATTTATGAAAATTAAGATACTAGTTCTGTATGGTGGTGTTTAAGTCACTTATCGTTTAAAATAATAAAAATAGGATCTTTTAGTATATATTCTTTTATTTGTAAATTACAGATGTATAAGTTTATATATAGAAATTAATTTTATATTTGATTTCCTTTCAATTTTTATTTTGGAATTTTGATTTGAAGCCATCCATTATACTATATTAATATATACATAATATTCAATAATTAATTTTAATACTTTATTAGAAATTATTAAACAATCGAAATACTGCTAAAAACCACTTAAAAATAAAGAAGTTTAAAATGTTGGAAACAAGTTTTAAACAAGTTATTATTATAAAATAATACTGTTATTCTCAGAGTTCTTTAAACAAGCATTTAAGATATTTTACTTTCGGACAAAAATATAAATTTAGAATATTATATTTAAGAAAAAGTGTCATTAATATCATTATCTTATTGGATTTTATAAAAAAAAAAAATGAAAAATAATAAAAACAGTACAAAAATATTCATAAAATTCAGTATTTATTATCCAAGTTCTCTTCAACGTTACAGTTTTTAAGTAATATTTTTATTTAAAAGAGAACTGCCACAAAAGCTTAACTTAAAAGGTTTCAATATTTTTAGATTTAATTTTGTAATAATTTCTGAACTTAAATTTTAGAAGGCTATTTCTGAAATATAATACGACCTATCAAGTTTCATTGATTTTGTAAGTAAGTTACTTGTAGGGTTTGAACAAATTTAAATAATTATTAATGAACCATAATAACTAAAGAGTTATAATTCGCTTATTAAAATTATCTGATTCTTATAATTACTTGTAAATTATAAAAACTATGTTTTATTTGTATTATTGCAAATTAAACTATTCTAAATGATTGATATATACATGGAATTTATCAACTATTAATTCTATTCGGGGCTTTACAGAGTGATTCTTTCATTATGAATTACTTAATTAATCGAAAAATAAAAATAATATTGTTAATTTTTTTATTGGTTTCTTTTAGTTCTAGGATTTTCTCAATTTATTGATTATTTTCTCCCTTACTTTAATTTATCGAATGACAACATACATAATTGACTAGCTTATTTATCGGATATTAATCTAATTAAGAAAAATAACTGGTTTATAACGACTTTTGGACCAGTATTTCATAAGTCATACATAGATCAAGGAATTATTTATATGTACAAATTTTTTTAAGTTATTCGGAACACACTATCAGCCAGTACAAACTTTTATTAGTTGACTTGAAAACTTAGTAATGTGTTTTTATCGATATTTTGGTTTTGGAAGGTGTTGATACTTATTTCTTATCAACTAAAACACTAAATTGATAAATTAAAGTCTTGATTCAAGCATTATTACCTAAGTATACACATATTTAAAAAATAAGTTTGGTGCTATTTGACCTTAATATCATGATTATGTTACATATAACAATAAACGTAGAATAAACATTATTTTATCAGTATTCTATGATACATTTATAAACAATATATCATCTTAATCACCGAAAAAATGGCGTTTGTATTATAATAATAAATAAAAGGACTAAATATGATCAATTACTTCCATCAAATAGTAGCATTACCTACTGACTTAAAAATATTTTACATTATAATAACGACAACTAATATTGCTAAATTATTTTTATAGCCTTGAAACTAGTTTCAGATTCTATTTTAAAGAACATAATAAAATAATCTAAGTGTAAATATAACATTGTATGTAATTGCAATTAATTACTTTTTGCTAATATTATTTAAAATAAAAATTATGATAAAAATATTCACTTAAAACTAAAAAATATTTATCTCAAAATGATTAAAATATCGAGGATACGTAATTCGGGAACAATGTTACCATTATTAACGCCAAACAACTTACACGGTATTTTAGTAACATTTTAGTTTTTAATTAATACTTTTAATATAATTTTAATTTTAAATTAAATTTTTTGTGTTTTTTATTCGAAATTAATTTTTACTTAATTGTGAATTTGTTAAAATAAATGTATGTAACCTTTCAAAAATATTTCATGAGAAACAAATATGCTCTTTATAAACTTGTTTATTCAGATCAATCATCACAATTTTGATCAAATAATAATATATTAAAAATAATTAGCGAATAAAAATATTTTTAAAATCATTTGTGTTTCTATAAATAGCCAAAATATTTCTGTAATACAGAATTGTTTTAACAAATTCTAATATTTTATAATTTAAAAATAATATAAACTTATGTAAGTTCGTTTATTAAAAAAAATATTACCATAGTTAATATAATAAAATATTAAAATCATAATTTCCTAAGATAAAAATTTCCTTAAAATAATCTAAATAATATATGTAGCTAGCTTTTGTATTTGGGTATTTAATTTTAAATAATTCATACATTATTTTAGTATTTAACTCTGAATTTAAATAGTAAACTAAATTTCCTAATAATGACTTTCTGAAACCAGGAACGATTTAATCGATTTTAATTTGTATTTTTAGTTTTATGTCAACAGGTAAGCTAATACTTGTATATCATCCTCGCCGATTGTAAGTAGTTAATCCTTTAATTTAAAACCGATTCAGTCTTTTATACATTTATCAAATTAAGAGTAGGATAGTAAAAAAACATTTCGACAATATTCTAAACGCATTTCTCTCAACAGTACATTGTTTTAAAAGTGTTATTCCTTTCGGCTTATTCATTTTGACTGCTTGTTGACATACTCATTTTATTTTATTTCATTTTATTTAAAAGATATTGATTTTATATAGAAATAGTATCACACTATAGTATACACGAAATGTTTGTTAAAAGGCAACAATATCATAATTGGGTACCATTTAACATATTAAGGATATTTTTATGGTTTGTAAATGAGATCGAAATTTCAACTCGATATTCGCCGACTTTTTCATTTTTCCCATAATATCGATTATTTTTGAAATATCGCGATAATCGAAAAAATTTATATAACAAAAACTGTTTGCGATAATCTTGTAAACATTTTTCTATTATAATATATTATGAAATATAGAATTGAGATAAGACGAAAAATTATATTTATTAATACGAAATTCTATTCTTAGATTAGGTTATTTATTATGATATTGTTGTTAATCCTATTTAAAAAAAAAACACAAAGTAAGGTATGAAAAGAATTAGAGAAAAAAATTTCAGAATTAGAAGATATACAGCAACATCTGGTTGATACTTAATCTGAAAAATAAAATAAAAAATTATTGAACTCTCCAAAAAAAATCCTTATTAGATGACAATGATAAATATGATGATGTTTATATTTTATTTTGGAAAAGAAGAAAGATTGTTTTTAGTTATGACCTACAATAAAAAAATTATAAATATACATTAAATTGTATTTTTTTATTTAAAATCAAAACACTGAAACTATAATAGTATTATTAAAAAAAACACAAATTCATCCATTTAATATAACCAATTTATAATGATAAAGTCTTGTAACTTATTTCTTCATAATAAAAAGTAATTTGAAAATATTTAATTATCGTTATGAGATATAGCTATTATCCATATTTTTTTGATATTAATATCATTATTTGATTTGTTTGGAATATTTGTATTTTATATTTGTTTGATTTTTACAACAATGTTAACTTAACAATATTCTTGAAAATAAATAAATGGTAAAAATATTTAAATATTAAATTTAATTTTTTTCCGATATTGATTTATTTTTTCATACAATATCATTATATTGCGATATCGGGAAAAATTCTTTTTTTCCATATTGCAATGTAATATTGCTGAAATTAAGTACGATATCGATATCCAAAAATATATCATTGACAAACTCTCGATATTACCAAGTTATTTTACACAGCCAATATTATATGACAAAGGACCTTTTTAACGCAAAACGACGTGTTTACATAAGTAAATAAATTATTTACCATAAAATGAAATTGGTCAAATATGTTACTTAGGTCTATTTTAACAAATACACATTTACTTATATGAAATATTATTTTTATGATGTAATTTAAATATTTCTGGATAATGTATATTAGATTATTATAATGTATATTAATGTATATGACAATTACAATTCCATCAAAATTTTTGAAGAGGCTTGTTATATCAAAGCTCTTTCTCTAAAATTTCTTTTTGTTCAATAATTTGAAATTTTGGAGAAACTAAGTTTCTGCAAGTCCTCGACCAATTTGCGTCTATAGGTGTTACATTAAATTATAATAACTATTATACCAAAAAAGCTTTAAAATAATTTTATCTATTGTTTATTTCTTATACAAAATAAGTATAAAACAATAATTAAGTAAATGCTTACAATATTTTTATTTAAATGTAAAAAAATTAATTATGCTGTACTTATTGAAATGTCGCTTCACCAAAAAAAATAAATGAACTGTGTTCAAAATATGTTGCATAACTCGATTTTTAAAATAATTAGAAAAAAAACCATAAACATTCAAATACTCAGTACTACTAGTAAAATCATCAAAATGTGTATTATCACAAATTTAATTGTACTTAATAATATAAATTATTTTTTTAAATATAGTCAAGAAATTCAATGGCACCTAAAGAATACCTTTTCAAAATTCTAGTCATTGGTGAGCTAGGTACTGGCAAAACGTCGATAATTAAACGATATGTTCATCAATTCTTTTCGCAGCATTATAGAGCTACAATTGGCGTAGATTTTGCTTTAAAAGTTCTAAACTGGGATACTAATACTATAGTACGATTACAACTATGGGATATAGCTGGTAAGTGTAAAAAAATTACACTTTGTTAAAATCTTTTTAATGGAAATCTTACACAATTTATCTATATTTCAGGGCAGGAAAGATTTGGAAATATGACTAGAGTCTACTATAAGGATGCGTTAGGAGCTTTTGTTGTGTTTGATGTGACTAGACCGGCAACATTTGACGCTGTTGTCAAATGGAAACAAGACTTAGATGCAAAAGTGTCGTTAGAAGATGGTACGCCAATACCATGTGTTCTTCTAGCTAACAAAGTAATTATTATACATTGACACTTGAAAATGAAAAATTTCTAACGTAAAATCAATGATTTTTTAATAGACATAAAAATTTCTATTAAAAGCAATTGTTTTTAAAAACATAATTAAAATACAATTATATAGAACATTTAATTTTTAATTTATGTTATTAAACTATATATATATATATAATAAGTGTAACTACTTCATTTAGGGATTAAAATATGAGTAATTACTATTTTTAAATATATATCGAAAATAATTTTTTTTCAACTGCGTTAGACTTGTTTATTCTTAGTTAATGACATGCATTAAATTTTAAACACTAACTCAATAGTGGATGCGACACAAATTTAGCCCAATGGAAATATTTTAATGAAAATAATTTTATTTTGCAAACTACTACTTCTTTAATAAATCAATAGTTAATAATACCAAAATATATATAGTTAATTTTATAATTAAATACATAAAATCAATTTGATACTTACAAACAAGCTTAAAGCTTGTTTAAAGTTATTGGTGGTTAAAATTTTTAATCCTTTTAAACCTACATTTTTCATTTCAGTTGAGACGAATCAATTATTTATTAATGGGTGACCCTAGTGCTGGCAAAAAAATAATTTACTTTAGTTTTGTTGTTTACATCATTAAAAAGCATCTTCTGGTATTGAAAGCATTGTTATAACTTTAAAACTACGGTTGCAATTAAAAAGAAAACTTGGTACTTAATAGTGTACCTAAGAACTAAAAGAGTTGGAAGATATCTCTTTTCAAATATATGAGAAAAAATTAATTTTCAATAGATTTGATCTTCTATTTATTGGCAAAAACAATTAATATTTGCTATTTCTGCTCCACGCCTCGAGTTAATTGTATTGGAAAATAATAATTGATTATTATAACCTATCATTTTATTTTACTGGCGTAACTATGAACGTCATTAGAGAAAGTAAACCCCAAACAAATATTTGTTCAAAAATTTCGAAATTACAATTGGAAGAATATAATGATAAACATTTCTTTTTGAATTTGACAAAACGGAGTTGGAGATTAATTCTTATGCTGGCGAGTTATCGATTAATTACCTAAAAAACAATGTAGTATTAAATATTTAAAATTAATTGTTTGTAATAAATAACTTATGTTACATATAGTGTGACGAAACAAAATCAGGTATGGTTAATAGTGTTGCCAAAATGGATGAATTTTGCAAAGAAAATATGTTTTCTGCGTGGTATGAAACGTCGGCTAAGGAAAATATTCACATAGATGATGCTGCAAAAACCCTTGTATCTCAAGTAATTTAATATATTTATAAACTTAAATTTTAATACAAAATCGAACATTAAGAACAAAATCTTTTGTTGCAGATTTTAAAGAATACTGCTCAATATAAACCTATTGCAAAAACAAATGGCCAAGTAAAACTAAGCAACACAGCACCACAGACCGATAAGAAAACCAGTTGTGCGTGTTGAATAAATTTGTTATTTATTAACGCTATTTTAAAAAAGGGGGGATTAAATTAATTAATAATTAAAATTGTACAAAAATGTTTTTATACTTTAAATTCAGAAAATATTTCCCTAAGAAAGAATATGTTATGAATTTTACATTTTATAGATATATTTTAGTAGAATATTATTAATACATATATTTATTTTTTCAAACGCAATCATTTAAGGCCAATACGTTTTATCCAATTTATAAGTAACTTTATCTGATTAAAAAAAAATTCTTTATAAGAAACTATTGTTAACAACGTAAAAGTGAATATAAATGATTATCAGAATAAAATGTCCAAATTAAAATAACTTATATTTGTACTTGCAGCGTTACTTGTGCCGTAATTTTATTTTAATGTGCCGTATAGTTAATATACCTATGTTTCATTTTTGAATAGGTAACACATTAAAATTAATTGTATTTAGCCTATTTATTTTTTAATTGTTGTTTATCAATTACCTATATAAAATGACTATTGAAATAAGGTAATCAGAACATGTAATTATAAGTTCATTGTTTTTTTTGTAATTATTCGTATATTTATATATATAACTATTTTTTTTTGTGTAATTATTTTGCTAACACGTTTGTAATATTATAGTTATTGTTATATGTAAAATGTTATAGAAAAAAAATTTAAATAATAATAAAAGTTACTAAAATTTTCTCCAACGAACTTCATATTTCTAGATAATGGGTCTAAACAATTAAGCTGACCACAACTTCTTATCTTTTAAAATAGTTAAACATAAATAATATATATATATATATAAAGAATAACCATTAAATTAAGCATGTTAAGTACATCAATCAGTTCATGTTGAAGAGACTTTTTTATCTGTAATAAAGCAAGTGCCATATTTATCTAAGATCAAAGTTCATTACTATGATGATATTAATTAATGATTAATTTTTAAATGCCGATATCAGATTTTAATTTTCAAATTTTATTACATTACTTACTAATTTTGTTGGGTTGATAACAACTTTACAATAAGTACTTATTGAGTTACGTATCCTAAAATTGTTATCGGCTTTACACCATTTTTTACAAGACAAATGTTCACTGTGACGATTGATGAGTATATTATACTTAATTTCTCATATAGTTTATATAATATACAATATTATTATTCTAAATTTGTAATAATTCAAACACTGATTCAGTGATTGGTCAAAGAAAATTAGTTGTACTATGGAAAAATATTAAATGCCTTATCTGTTGAATTTAATCATTTAAATGTCCAGTCCATCTACATGATCTATATCCAACTTTAATTTTTCATTTAAAATACTAATGTATTTTATAATTTTCTTTAAAATTATATATATTAACTTTAATAAAATTAATTTTAATGAATAAATATTGAAAAAATAATTATTTAAATATTTTTGTATAAATCTAAGTTTTTTTTTGATTTACCAAAAATAAAATTTTTTATTAAAATACTGAACTCCACCACAACTCAATTGTCAAAATTATTGTTGAATCAGTTTATAAAATTGCTTGTTGTCACCTTGAAAATTAAAATAAAAAAAATTGCATAATTTACATTGTATGTTATAGCATGAATTTTTCCGAGTTCAAAAATATTAATATCATTAAAATCATAATGGATAGTATAATATTATACTGCCTATTTCCCATCTAATAAACATATAGTCTTAAACTTTAATAATAAGTATTTTATCTTATGAGTTACTCAGTTATCAATTTATATCAAGAAAATATATAGATCAAAATTAAATTAAATCTACAAATTGTTGGTCCGATGTTAATTGACTGGTCAAAATTTAGTTAATTTACCTAAGAGACTAAAGCCATAAGGTGGTCAAAAAAAAAATGTAATCTGTATTTAAATTTTAAATTTATTATATAACGGTCTTTTCGCAAATGAATTCATTATTTTATGAAATATTTAATTTTACTTTTTACAATACTAAGCACTAACACTTAAAAAGTTGTAAGTTAAGCTAGTTGAACGTTTTAACTTAACTAAATTACTTAATAAGTAACATTGGTTTTGTTTTTTAATAAGCTAAATTAGTGTTCAGTAATTGTGGTTAATAGACTATTTAGTATAGTACTGAAATACAGTAGAACTCCAATTATCCGAACTCCGATCATCCGAATCGCCGATTATCCGAATCACTTTCAGAAAAAATCAGAAAAAAATTTGTCTAAAGTCCGCGGCGTCAGTGTAGGCACAACACGTGGTAAGAGTTCCCACTCCAGTTCCGGCGCATTGCAGTCACCTGTCATTGTTTATTTTGATTAGTCAGTGAATGGGTCCCGGTCCCCATTAATTCGGATAATTGGAGTTCTACTGTAATTCAATGATGTCTTCAGGTCATCTTTAGAGGGAGGGTCAATTTAAAATATTTTTATCAACTTGTAAAGTTCGTCTGTTATTATGCCTATAGGTTAAAAAATATTAATAATAATACTTATTTATAACATCAAGAACAAAAAGTTTGAGGGTTTAATTAATTTCTCCCCTCTTTAAAAATATTTCTATACAATTTTTATAGAAATATATTATAAATACGAGTAATGTTATATACATTTTGGGGAACTGAAACAAAATTAGGAGGAGCCAAGTCCTCTACAGCTCTCAGCTTGCGTCTATGTATAATATAGGCATACTTAATGTCTGGATGTACATTAAATATACCCAGACATTAAGTATAATTTATCATCAATGAAAAAAAAATATATATATCTAGTAAAATTAATACCTTTTCAGCTTCGCATCGGAGCTAAAAAAAATGATTGCCGTACGTGCACATTTTATACTCAATAATCTGTTGTCATCTTTTAATTACTATGACAACTTTTTATTTTTAATTTCTATGAATATTTACTGTTATTATTTAAAATTATGAAAATAAAGTAATTATTATGTAATAATAATTAAATATGAAAATAATTTATTTCCATAGTTAATAACAACTATCTGGCAATGATTAAGTTGTTTAAAAAAATTAAATTGATATAGAAATTATTATTTATGATGTTTAAAATTACAGGAAAAGGTAGTAATTAATACATATTATACATAATAAAAATTGAAGAATTGTTTTAACCCCAATCCTCAATTAAATTTCAATGCACGGACACTACTCCATGGATGCACCGGATCGGTCCTGATTAGACACAAACATTTTAAATTAATACACGGATCATAAATAACACGTAGATAGTTTTATTAGAAATAGAGTCTACAGTGCCTAATGTATATATTAGGTACTGTAAATTCTATGTCTAGGTCTTACGATTTTAAAGACGTTTTATTTCGTTCATCACTTATTATAAATTGTTAAAAAGCTTTTTTCATTATGCATACAGCCTTTGAACACTTCAATATACGAGAATGTAAGAAAAATACTCTCTAAATTTATATTATACAAACTATCAAATCATTAAAATTTTTATCAATTATTAAACCTTTAATAAGTTTTCGGATTTTTTTTTTTTAACGAGTTAAATTTTTATTTTTTGTTAAATCTGCTTCTAGAAAAGTATAGGGACGTTATTAGAGAGTGATCATAATTTTGAAAAATGAAGTATCTTGATAGAAAATGTTAGGACATAAAATTTCTTTATAACTTTTTAACTTAAAAATATTGAATACTCCGGACCTGTTTTAAAATTTGTCAGCCCCTAAAAAAAATACGCAATGGTTGAAAAATGTTATTTAAGTTTACAGACATTTTTATGCAAGTAATTATTCTTTTAAAAATTATAAGACGCTAAACTGTGTTACAGTATATATCATTATTTCATAAATTAAATTTTTATTTTATTAATTGTTATAATGATATTGATGTTTGATAAATATTACAAATAGAAAATATAAATTTGTATTTAAACAAAAATCCATCTTATTTTAAATTATATAGATATCATTAATGGTTCATTTTAAAAAAAATGTTAGAAATAACCCTTTCAAACAGCTAATTAATATGAAAAATCTATACGATTTTAATATTTCCCCGTAACTAAAATTTTAATTATAAATGGTAAATACAACAATGATAGATGTATTGTAGATTAATTTTTTGTTCATATCTCTTTTCGTTATCCATTAGAACAAAAAATTAATTTTACATTTGTTAATATTGTAACGTCACAAATTCAAAGGTGGACCGTTTATGATTTTTTGTTATGTCTATTTATTTATTTTATCGCGCGAAAGAACCTTTTTCTGACACAGCGGTGTCAACCACTCATTATTTTGCCTCTGACCGCTAGATAAGGCGATAAAAGAGAAATATAATTAAAATCGAATTGTTTATCATTATTGATCCCTTCCAAAAAGACTGGCCGTTATCGATATGAAATTGCCGTTAGATCGGTGTTGACTCTTCTCTATTCTTTCTTCTGTCATTGACCGTGCTAGGGTGCACACTTTTATTGTTTTATTGACATATTTTTCAATGATGGAGTAGAACCGCCAACGGCGAACGGCTAGATCTTTTCGGCGAAGCATCCAGACCATCGGATGGGTCTCTTCGGAGACCGGGTATCGTTTTCTTTTTTTTATATTATATTTATGTAATGAGCTATATTTTATTAATTATTTTATTGTAAATTAACTTAATTTTGTTTATGTGTGGAGAGCACGTGTTTCCCTTTTCTTCTAGCCAACGCTAAGGAGCGAGTGTCCAGACCGCTCCTGGTGTTCTTCATTAATTTCCTATTAACATTAACGGATGTGTTCCAATACCGTCCGTGATGTTTGTAATATTATTTGTTTAAATATTTTATTTTATTTGTATTGCCTTTATTTGTAGACATGGTTTTTGATGCATTCGCATTTTTGTCCATGTTTAACTTAATTTTCTTTTTTTAACAATTAAATTAAATTTCCTTATTAATTTCAATTGTAATATTTATTTTATTGCGCGAGTAACTTAATTACTCGCGTGTATTTCATTCCTATTCCTTAATCTAGACACGGGCTACGGTATGTTTTACATATCAACCACATACAACTTTGATTGGCATAATTGTGTTCTATAAACCACGAGGCATTATAGTAATTTATACATATAACGACATATTAACTTAGATTATACTTTTAATTAACTTAAAATTAAATTCCACCTATGGTCCGGTAATCATATCTGATAGGTGTGACACCTCGCCTAGGTGGTGGCGACCCTTGCTACTCTAGCTAGTCGTTATGCAAGTGGCAAACCACGTTGTTGTTACAGGCCGATTTACTAATATAAAAGCCCGCTTGCAATATAATTGATGTAGTTATATAATATATATAAATATGTAGTAATATAATCTATTAAGTAATTTCTCATTCACTACACGAGAAACATAATTGAACTGAATTCATGACATTTAAACCTGACAATTCATGTCAGGTTTAAGTAATAAATAAAAAAAGGGGGGTAGTATATTAATGTAAACAAAATTTTTAAGGAGGTTCGGTTTAGTATAAAGAAAATTAATGAGGTATTAAGGGAAAATAATAGAATAAAAGTAAAAGGGATCTCGGGGTATGTATGCCTATAGAAGGACGTCTGATGTATATGAGTAATAAAGAAATATCAACGAAATGTTACTATTTAGCTTCTGCACAAAAATGTATACACGAATTTATACGAGTCGTGAGTATAGTATTTTTACTTTTATGCAGTTTTTTTAGTCAGTTCATTTCCAACGATCTACCTTACTCTAATTGTTTGTTACTAAAAATCCTTCGGTGAAGGTATTATTATAGATTTATTATATAAATAAATGTCTTCACTTACCTCTAATTCAGAGGCGTCATTTCAGTTTTTTTTTTTTTGGGCGTGCGAGATTTCAAGTAGGTCATTTTGAAATTTCATCAGGCCATATAAAAATAGACTTAAGTAAATTATTCTTCTTTTAATTTTTCCATAGATTATGAATCCCAATATTGTTTAATTTTAAGAAATTGGTGAATTATTTTCTATTATTATACTCCTATTTCCTAATTATATCATGATTACAAGTTTTTCGATTTATTAATGTAATACACAAATAAATACTAATTATAATAATTCAATTTAATATGAAATTTGTATTCAATAATTTAATATTGCACGGAGAAATTATAACGAGTTATAAAGTACAAATATACATATATATAATTTACCAAAAACCAAATTTTCAGAAAGTAGTTTTTTGTTGTTCTTCTTTTTCTTTGTCTTTATCCCAACTACTTAGAGTACTATCTTATTCTAAGCCTCCACTTGACGCGATATCATACATCAACCGTCTTCATTCGCATTCAATAAAATCCTTCCGTCTCTTTTTTGGACTTTCTCTACCTTTTTTCCTTTAATATTAATTTCCAGAACTGTTCTCACCGCTTCCGATTCATCTTTCCTCGTAACATGATCAACTATCTAAGTCTATTTTCTCTCATATTATCCAAGGCTACACCTATACTCCCTCTTATATATTTGTTTCTTATACTATCTTCTCTAGTCACTCCACTCATTCATTAAAAACATTCTCATTTCTGTTCTATTCTCTTGTCAACCACTCAGCATTCTGAATGATACATCAGGCTAGTCTCACTACAGTCTTATAGAACTTATTTTTCAGCCTTATTGAAATTTTCTTATTACATAACACATCAGACGCTTCTCTCCACTTCACCCTCATTAATAAATTCATCCATCTTTATAGAAAATATGTAAGGCTTTAAAACAAAACCTTGTTGCACTCTTACAATAGTTATTATAAATGTAAAATTATTTTTTAATTATAATATAACACAGACACATTTATTAAAAAATATATATAATTTTTCAATGTAATGTAATGTAAAAAATAAAGTTAGATATGAAAATAATTCTTAAAAAGGTACAGCAACACACACATATTATAGTAGTCTAAGTTTTTCAAATAAAAAATTATAACTACGAGGTTAAAATGTATAGTATTGTATGAAATTTTCCTTAAAACCCCTACTACAAATAAAATTATGACTATGTACCTTTACAGAATAAAAATTGTGAATAAATGTTATTTGAAACATTAAGAGCTATTGGGATCAAAGTGATAAACAAATGATTGTTGGTATTCTTGATGTAGTTGGTTAAGATACTATTAATAAATTACTATATATTCAAAAAATTGGACATCTTCCTGTTAACTTACTTATTATTTAAAGAATATAATTTTTTAACTTAGTATTTACTTCATTTATTTCAAAATGTGAATTTAACCCTTTAGCTCTGAATGCCTTATTTATAAAATTTATTATTTCAAGAATTTTTAATTAATTAAAATTATTTTTATAAAAAATATCTATAAATAAATTATTATACTGTTTTCTAAATTAATAAAAAGTGTTATTAGTGTATAACACAATTGATATATTAATTATGATTGTGATAGACATTGATACACTAGCTATCAGTAAAATAAAAATACATTTTAATACTCAGTTTATCAATTTATTGAAATTTTCCTATGAGATAAATTTTAATATTAATAATAAAAAATAAAATGTAATTTTATGATGATATTCAATTATACAAAAAAATTATGTACTAATCAGTATGTAAAATACTTAAAAACATTTTTGATTATTTTTAGAAATTTTTTTAGAACATTCATTTTTTGATATTCTACCTTGATTATTTTTGGACACCTGTAAAATAGAGATATATTCTAAATAGTTAACAAATATTAGTATTAAAAGTAGAATTTTTAACTATCATATTAATTTTTTTAAATACTTGGACTAGCCTTAATTTTTTTTTAAATATTTTTATTGTAATTCATATAATCCTTTAACATAGAATTTAAATGAAAGACTTGGAAGTTGTATATTTTGTCCCCATCAATCTACGTACTTCACAATATTGACAATATTTTATCAATCATTCAGACTACTTAGAATATTAATTAATTTTGAATTACTAAAAAAATTTAAATATGAATTTTGGTTGTATTCTTGCAACAGAGGTGTTTTTACAGAAGTATATTTAAGATATAGCTGTACTGAGCTACAGTTTTCATAATTATTTCAGTTAATCAGATGTATTTATAATACAATGCAATTTTTTAAGAATGTCCTACTTTTTTTTTGTTAAATAATGATTTTTCATAAAAATATACAGATTAAAATTTAATTTATTTTGATAAATCATAATATATACTGCCGGCCAAAATTATTAGATCACACAATAACTTTAAGATTTTTTTCAAATAAGATTTGATATCTTGTTGGTTTATTAAATATTATTATAATATTAACAAACATGATTGATGTAGATTCAAAGAAAAAATAATTCACCTGCAAAAAATTATCGACAGAAATTTTAATTCGAATTTCTTTGGTGATCTAATAATTCTGGCCGCCAGTATATATTAAGTTTACTGTAAGAAAAATTATTTCAAATGGTAGATTTTTTAGGGATAACTTTTTGAAGTGAAATGGAAACCTATTAATATTTTTTTACTATTAAATTTAGAATATTCTAAATAAAATTTTGACTAGTCTATAACCAGTTTTATATTATTACTTTTTGAGTTAATATAATTTTTGGGTATAGGCAAGAAGTGTGTGCAACATTGAAGAATTCTTATTTGTGCATGGTAAAAACAAAGCGTCGCATAACACTTATCCGCTCTTAACCTTTTCAACATTTTTAAAAGCTAATATCTCCAATATAACAAAACTGGTTATCAACAAATCAAAATTTTATTAAGATCATTCTCAATTTAATAGTCATATTTCTTTTTTCTTTTACCTTGTCTTCACAACTAATTGGTTGGCAATCCTCCACTTAATATTAAAAAAATAAAAATAGGTTTTTGTTAAACTTTTGAAAGTTACACCTAAATCTACTCTTATAAATCATTTTTTCTTATAATAAATTTGATATATTCTATGGTTTATCAAAATAAATAAAATTTTAGTTTATACACTTTCACAAAACAAAAATAGGAGTATCATTCTTAAAATATCATACTGTATTTGGCTTTTTGAGTTGCCACAAGTTTATATTTTTTAAATTCAACAGCTTTCATATTTTTCTCGATAACATTCTAGTTTTAATCAAACAAATTATATGATAGATATAATATTGGCGCAAATAAGGGGTCAAGAGGTTACAATTCATCCAAATAAATATTTTTAATAACATAACTGAATTAAAAAATTTGTTTAAAATTTTATAAAAACTACAAAATTTCAAAAATTTTAATAGTTTTTCTTATTAATTAAAATTCACCTATATTTAAATTAAAAAATACTCTTTGAATTATAGTAACCATGCCTTTAAAATTTACTACCAGGGCAATGACCTTTTTCCTAAACTAAATATACCCTTGATGATTATAATTATAAATAAGTTTCTGTAAATTTTACAATTTTACACATACTTTTTTTTCAAGAAATTGTTCAGGATCGCATTTGGCACTACTATGTTGTCCTTTATTATGACAAACAATATGTACTAACTTAAGATTTTTTGAAGTGAAAAGTAAATCATAAAAATATTGAAAATTTATGGATACGTCATTAATGACTGCAAGAGAACTGGCAATAAAAAGTGCTGGTATAATTGATCTTGATCTTTCTATCCTAAAAATTAAAAAATTAAGTTTTATGACTTTTTATAGCTTTGTTTAATTGGGAACAAACTAACTTTAATGTTTTATTAATTTGATAATTATTATGCTGATATATCATATATAAGTAAGAATAGTGACACAAATGAAATTTTTAATATTTTAAAATATAGACTGAAGACAAAGTGCAAGTTACATTATTATTATCATAATGCATTACTTGCTACACTCTCGCCGTACAGTTATGGATGACCTAATGAATCTTATGCAAAGTTGATTAGTAATTCAATAAAGTTGTTTTATTAATTTTGCCTCAGTTATAAATTTTTTTTCTTTAAGTAATATGTCACTATTTTTATTGATAGGTAAAATTAAACTACTTAAAATTCCACAATTTATCATATTTCAAAATTTTTAAATGTGAAATTCATATTATTTGAATAAATAAATAACTGTTAGTAAAATATTTAAATTTGGTAACACTAAACAAACCAATGATCTAAATTCCAAGTTGAAAAAATTATTCTGGTCTCTTTACTTTGGTATGGATTGATTTTGTGCCCAACGCCACGCTCGTAAGAACAGTTTTCTTGATTCCATGCTCCTTCGCAGCTAAATGTTCCTAAACTATCACAAAGACATAGATGATTTGATCTATCAAAATAATGTCCATTATATTTGTAAGCATTTAAAAAGATGGAAAAATTTTCAAATGCCTCGTCAAGATAATGTCTTTGTTTAATGTCAGTTATGTATATTTCAGATTTCTTAACATCTGCTTTAGTTTTATACATATAATTTCGTATTCTTTCTTGACTGCGTTTAAACATAAACTCTTCTTTTGTTTGACTTCTTGTATCTAAATCTAATAATTTTATAAATTCATTTTTACATATATAAATGTGTTAACTCATAAAAAAATATAAGTAAAATTTATATTTTGATATATATATTTCATTTTGGAATGAAATTTGGATATTAATTGGCTTGAATACAATATTTTACTGTATTCATTTAATAATATAATTTTCTATTATTGCATCAATATAATGATTGAGCTTAAATATTTTTGTAATTTTTATTCTTATTCAGTTCTGAGATTTTAATTATATACCATATTTATTATTTATATATATAGTACACAGAAAAAACAATGAGAGTTATTTTATTGTTAACTAAGAAAATAGCATTTTAAATTTTAAAATGCGAAAAAAAAAATTTTTTACAAACTAATATTTTACAATAAGGTTAAATGTGATGACTTTATACATAGTAAACATAATAAAATTAAGTTTGTAACATTTGTTAACAGTTACCACAAAAAATAATAGAAAAGTCATCCTTAGGTTTACATTTTTAGAAATAAAAATGGAGAAGTCTTCTGAAATAAGAAAGAACATATGCCCTAAGTAAAGTCTTTTTTTGAAAATTAAATCTTATAACCATAAATACATATGTAGAACTTAAATGTATAACATTTATTTTCATTTAAACTTAATTTCAATAAACTTACCTAGTTATTTTCTAATATACAAATACTTTAAATGGCTATAACTCTTGATTAATTTACTTTTTCAACAAGTTTTATGACTTAAAAGATACATCATGACAACACAAATTTTTCATCACCAAAATCTCAATTTTGAAAAGTAACTCTCATTGTTCATTCTGTGTAACCTTTATAAGTGTATATATTCACATATTTTAATAACATAAATTAAGATACACAATTATATTATCATACCTTCAAACCACTGAGGATGTTTTGATCTTAAACTTAAAATAGTGCAATCTACTTTTTCAGAATCTTGTATATCTATAATTGAAGATAGTACTCTAATTTTATCTTTAATGTTTTCATCCATAAATGATTTAATTTCAACAGATGAAATTTTTAATAGATTTACATCAACAGTTTTTAGAGCATTATAAATTATGTCGGCCCCTATAAATAATATAACTTTTATTTTTAATACAAATTACATGAAATATTTTGAAAATTACAAAAATTATTAGTTAGTTACAATTTAATATTATTATCATTATAATTTATTTTTAATTAACTTTCATTTATTAAGACATGCATGGGTTGACACAAACAGTATTTTGAACAATGACATACAGTTTTCTATAAATACAAGGTTGTATAAAATGGAGATAGTAGCGTTATATTACAAACACATTCAAAAATAAAATTTTTTATTTAAAATTATTATACGTAGATAAATATTATTATGGTTTTAAAGCTCTTACTACTATTAAATTTTCTATTCTTNCAGTATTTTGAACAATGACACACAGTTTTCTATAAATACAAGGTTGTATAAAATGGAGATAGTAGTGTTACAAACACATTCACAAATGAAATTTTTTATTTAAAATTATTATACGTAGATAAATATTATTATGGTTTTAAAGCTCTTACTACTATTAAATTTTCTATTCTTAACAACACTAAATTCCAGAATAAAGGAAATATTTCATATAAAAGAAACAAAATTTTTATTGTCAAACAATGATGCTAAAAATGAGAGCCAGTATTTAAACCAAGTAAATGCTATGCCAGTTACTTTAGAAAGATGGAAAAATAAATTATTTTTAGTTACACCTAGATTCAAACAAAATATTCCTGCTACTCTTTCTTATTTAGATATTACAAGTAAGATAAAATATATTTAATAATAGTATTAAAAGAAAATAATGGTTACTAGTAATGTATTTCTAGATTTGAAAACTATGGGAAATTATACGCCAATTTTTATTCCATATCCAAATCAAAATGTTCATGATATTTCATCACATAATCTAACTTCAGTGGTTATAGTTCGAGCTGATGTGTGTGATCGTTTATGGATACTTGATAGTGGAAAAATTAATAATAATCGTGAAATAGCCTCATCTATACATATTTATGATTTGAGAACTGATACACATTTAAGAACTTTTAGTTTAGAATCTTTATCAAATACTAACTCAGATTTTAGTAATATAATCATAGATGTAACTTCTTCAACTTGTGAAGATGCTTATGCATATGTACCCGATAGTGACACATATAGATTAATAGTGTATCGTTGGAAAACTAATGATTCAAATGCAATATCACATAACTATTTTCATTTTGATCCAATTTATGGTGATTTCAATTTTGGAAGTGTTCATTATCAATCTCAGAAAGGTTTATATGGAATATCTCTATCTCCAGTGGAAAGAGATAGTTATCGAACAGTATATTTTCATAGTATAGCCAGTACAATGGGATTTACAGTCAGCTCAAAAATACTTCAAGATTGGAAATATGACCAAAACAAAGATGTATATGAATTTAAAGTTATGGGATCAAGAGGAATGAACAAACAAGCAAAATCATCTACACTTGATATGGAAACAGGAGTTTTATTCTATGGTCTTGTTTTAAAAAATATTATAGGATGTTGGAATTCTTATAGGTAAAAACATTCTTTTATAATCTTGGTTATTTTTTTTTTATTTAATAATATATATTTTTTCAGCGGAGAAGAGTATAATGAACATACTCAAAGTAATATAATTTTAGACAATGATCAAGACTTGTTTCCATCAGATGTAAGAGTAGATAAGACAGGAAATTTATGGGTATTATCAAATACATTACCAATTTACATAAATAATAATTTTGACCAAAGTTATATAAATACAAAAATATACATGACTCCTGTTCGGCAAATTATAAAAGGAACAGTGTGTGATGAAATGTAAAAATTGTTTAAATAAATCAAACCTGTCATGTAATTTTCTCCATTAAGACGGAATATAAATAATGTTTGATTAGGCAAAGTTTGAAAGTATTCTTCATCATCAATAATTGTACCGTCTTGTAATAATATTGTTACTTTTTTATTGTTAATCTGTAAAAATAGAAAATACTAATATCAATATTTCTACATAACAATTATTATTTAAATAGTAATGTCACACAATTAAAAAATAATAAAAGGTAACATAAATAATATTTAGAAATTAAATAAATCAGAAATTAAATAATTGAATATTAGTAAATTTTAAATAGTTTAAATTATAAATTATGAAATATATATAACTAGTTAAAATCACTTATTTATCACCCCTTGCATCACCCCAAGGTTTCAGCACCACTGTTTATGTGTAGAAGTTTTACCTTTAATTTTTGACATCCTTTTATTCGAAGATCCTCAAATGAATAACAGGCAATTCCAAATTTTTTATCTCTTGTAGAATTACTAATTTTATAACCTCTCATAGTTGCACTAGGTAAACAAAATATTATACCTTTTAATAAAATGACTTTTTAAAGTTAAAAATATTCAATAAAATTCACAAAGTAATTTGATAAAAAATCTTAGAAAAGTTTAGTATATACAATAGTCTATTTTTACAATTTAATTTTTCTTCTGCAAATTTAAAATGCAACATATTTATTTAAAATTATCAACCCCATAAACAAAATAATAATTTTAAATGTTTTGAAGTTTTTAATCCTTTACATTAAGTATTTAATTCTAAACCAAATATAAATTTGTATTAAAAAATATTAATTAGATCTATTATAATATTAACATAAGCATATCAAAAATAAATAATAAGAGTAATTTATAATAATTAAATGAAAAGGAAAATTAGTTGATAAAATTTAAAAATAATTAAAATACCTTCAAAATTGTTGGAAAAATATTCAGTATTTAATTTGTTTAAAAATAACTAGATAGAATATTGTAACATAAAAATGAAATATTTCAGAAAAAATAACTCATATTTGAAACTATTTATTTATTTTATGATTATCATTAAAAGACAACTGTGAAGTTAACAATTCCTTTCCAGCAATTTTCTAATCAGATACAATATAAGACACCTAATATAAGTTAATTTTGAAAGTCGCATAACTACAAACTGTAAATAGTTTTAAATAAATTATCATGATAACATGGTTTATCACTTTTATTACTATCTTTTAACAAGTGTTTGATGTTAGAAATTCCTTTATAGCAATTTTTAATCAAATACATCGCTAGATGACGCTACTTAGTTAAAAAGTATGATAATTGTATTTTTGCTAAAGTTCTGAGAGTTGTTCACTTAAAAATTAAATACCAACGAAAAGCTTATAAAATTTCCTATCAAGTTATATAATTCGTAAATAGTACTTGAATAGTAAATAATACTACTAAATAGTACTAAATAGTACTAGTGTCCAAGTAACCCCAATGAGAAAAATTGCTGGATCATATCAATGATAGTAAAGAAACAAAAAACCGGGTGATCGCCGCTCGATTTTTCGTACTTTTGATAAAGTTCCGAGACAAATCTAGGCATTAATTATAAACCAAATAAAAACTTCCTATCAAATATCATAAGTCACAAATGGTACTCGAGTGTCCAAGTAACCTGTATTATAGAAATTGATGTGTCATTTCTGCGATCGAAAACAATATATATTAGTGCGATCCACCTATGGTTTTTTGTATTTTTGATAAAGTTCCCAGGCGATAATTATACACTAAATAAAAGCTTATAAAATTATCTATCGAAAAGCATAATTCACAACAAATGGTACTCGGGTGTCCGAGTATTGTTAAGTCATATCGTCTATTCTAAAAAGTGTAAATTCGGGGGAATTGCTCTCGGATATTTGCGTTTTTGACGATTTAAAATTTAATCATCCAAATTTATAGAACATAAAATTTATTCATATTCGTTATGCTAAATAACCTTTTTATTTGATTGTCATAAATTGAAAGGTTAACTCATATCCCCTCCCATTAGACTATTACTAATAAATATTTATTATTTATGCAAACATATCTATGAAAATGACTTTAGATATTATTTTATATAACTCACCTCTTTAATCCTATTAAAACTCAATGCCGTACTACTTATTTTTCTAAATATTTGATTAAAATTTATTATTTTATATATATTAAAAATGTTATTTTAGAATGCGGACTGTCTATCATAAGTTTTGTGAATAACTTATAATAGGTGTGGTTACAATGAATGTAAATATGTAATTTACGACCTAGAAAAAATTAATGATATTTTAATTATATTTGTTTAGTTTAAAAAATCTATTCTAAATGCATAAAACATTCCATCTATATACTTATAACCTATACTTCTATTAATAATAAATTCTGATAACAATTGCACAATTTTGTATCACATACTATCTGAATTACTCACTTCGAGGATTGATGATTGAGATCCTTAAAAGCATTGGTCAATTTATTTACATTACAAAAATATAAATAATTATGTATAAACAATGCACAGAAATTATCATTTTATCATCGTTGAGTAGTTCTTTTGTCTTTTTTTGAATCTGTGTAAAATACTGTTATTAATTTTATTATTTACGACTGTATAGTTTTTGTTTTATCTTTTGTCTTGTCACATAGGATACAATAAAAGTCATTTTTCCTGTAATCGTTTAACCTATATGTTTCATATACAGCAATCATTTGTAGTACATGACACCTATTCGATACACTTGCCTCTATGTCTATCTTCATGTCTTTGACAATATAAACAAATGTTTGTCGTATCACCTGAATTTTCTAGCAATAAATGTTTTAAGTCATTCCTGTAAGTATCAGGGTCAAATTTTTTTCTGAATTTAGACTTTTTTAGGATAGTAATAGAATTATATATAATAATAACTCCATAGTTATAACCAACTGCTTGTGTTGGTACGTTTTTATATAGACATTGAATAAAATATAAGTATGGAAAGCCATTGCATTTAACAATGTTTTGAATAGTATCAAATAATATCGATTACTTTATGGGGCACATCGGATCTATAATATAGCATACCTTTTTCTTCAAGTATATCACTGCAATAATCCAATGATGCCATTTGAAATAGAATTGATAAGTCTATTTTCAGTTTCTAATCATAATATGAGTTATTTAGGTCATTTTGATCACTATTTTCAATTTTATGATGTACCTCTTTTTTAATCATTTGACATTTACAATAGAAAAGAGATTTACTAGTGTTTGACGAACATAAATCATTATCTAATAATTTCAACTTATCATCCTCTTTATAAAATTCCTCATCAACAACTTTACAACCATTTTTCATACCGTTTATAGCTTTTGATATGTCCTCATTCAATGAGGGTGTTTATAGAATCAAAGAATACATTCTAAACCATGTTTCAATGTCATTAATTATTCTAGTATCAATCAGTATACAAATCCAGTCTGTTATAGAATTTCTAACATTTTACCAATTTTTGGTCCCTGATTATAGTTATATACATATTTTACAATGATTTTAGCGTAATGATTCATGCAAATGTTTATTATTGTTACATTTGAAGCATCAGTATCTTCATACGAAACTCTATTTGTTCAACTCAAGTAATCAAATATTGAAGTAAAACCGTTTAAAGTTATTGATAACGAATGAATTTGTGCAAAAGTAAAATCTATAACTACATTAGGAAATACAGGCCAAGAGAGATTACCTTTAATAACAAAACTCTTAAAGGCCACAAGCCACGGTGTTATTACTGTTATATCATATGCTGAACTTAGCAATTCCAATAATGAACAAGTTACAGTTGATTTCAATAGCAATGGCACTCGAATAACTACAACGTAGTAAAGAGGTCTTTTGATCTCTATCTATTTTTCTAACTACTGAACCTATAACATCCAAACAAACAGTAAACAAACTTTCAGGGTTTGTCTTCATTTTATTTTTTATTTGTAGTTGCTCTTCGCTGTACATATATAAATATGCAGGTAAACCTACATGTTTCATAAACAATTTATTTTTAGGATCTTTAAAACTACAAAGTAAATCATCTAGATCATTATTTGCATAATCATCAGCACTGCGAACCTCAGATCTTATTTTGCGTATTACAACTTCAGATTTAATTTTTGAAAGTTTCCACGATCTAGCTTTGAGAATGATGCCTCATCGATCACTCCAGACCTATATTTATAGCTACTAATTGCTTACATTTGTGTCCTAACTAAATCACGTTTAACACCCCTGACTTGATACGTTTTCAGTTATGTGATAATAATTTATACTAGACTAAAGACTTTAGCCTCTGCGCGCACCCCAAGTGAATTGTTCTACTAAAGCTTTAAAACTTTTACATCCTGGATGAAAACAACCAGTACATATTACGCCAGTATTCGAATAATTAACTGGCTTAACATTTATTAAACAGGTATTATTTACATTTTTTATACGTATTCAGAACATTGTTGGAAAAATCTCTTTGATAAATTGAGGCTTTCCTAAAATCGTAAGGTATGTCATATGCGACCATTCTTCTTTACGAAATTCTAATGTTCCTTCTTGAAAAACCCAATTATTAAAACATTTTCTATTATTTTTTCTATAATTTTCCGGATTATTAGGATAATCATTCATACTATCTATAGGTAAGACTATGCCAAACTTAACTTATTTTAACTTTGATGTTAGTTTTCACCATAAAAACAAAATAAAGTCCGAAATGTTTTTTTTCCATAATAAAGTATATTACATAAGCTTTAATTTGAAATATATATAAAAGTTAAATAATTATAAATAATTTTGTTGAGTTTATAACAAATTTAGAATAAGAAAAAGATTAAGTTACGAGTATTTTAATAATAACTAAAGTTTTTATTATAAACATTTTAAAATACAAGAAAACATTAACTTTTTTTTTTTACTTATTAGAAACAAAATAATAATAAATACTTAAAACAAAATCTAAACTGCTAATATTATTTTTGAAAAAAGTAATTCAAAATATTGGCTTGATCAAAAGTTCATGTAGATAATTGTACACATTCTAATTCCTCTTATATGTAACAAAATAATATTTTCAAAAAAGTATATACAAATTTAAAATTTAGCTTCAATGCATGAAATTTAATAAAAAAAAAAAAAATGAAATTGTGATAGANTTTTTTTGGAGATTCCCCCCTATCTATATAAATAATTTTGTTAAGTTTATATCAAATTTAGAATAAGTAAAAGATTGAGTTACAAGTATTTTAATAATAATTAAAGTTTTTATTATAAACATTTTAAAATACAAGAAAAAATTAACTTTTTTTTTTTTACTTATTAGAGACAAAATAATAATAAATACTTTAAACAAAATCTAAACTGCTAATATTATTTTTAACAAAAGTAATTCAAAATATTGGCTTGATCAAAAGTTCATATAGATATTTGTATACATTCTAATTCTTCTTATATGTAACAAAATAATATTTTCAAAAAAGTAAATACAAATTTAAAATTTAGCTTCAATGCATGAAATTTAATAAAAAAAAAAAAATGAAATTGTGATAGAAATAAAAAAAATTGTCTATTCTTGCTGCTTGGCTTAAAAAAAAAAATTGTCATAGTAACCGTTTGTACATTTATTAATAATGATAATCAGTTTTCAACATAATTTGAATCCAAATGTAGAATAATAATCGAATAAGGTAATAATTTATAGTGTTGTAAAGTAATAATCAAAAATTATTGATCAGAAATGGCTAAATTTATAACACGTACAATTAGAAATGTCAAGAAGAAATTTGGAATAAGAAAAAAAAATTATTAAGGGTAATTTTTTGAACTTTCAAACGATTATTAATTTGATTTTTTTTATTTATGATAAATTTATTTTTTAGTTAACTTTAATTTAAAATATATATAAAAGTGTCATTATTTCCGGAAACCTTTCAAAAATTAAGTTAAAAAATTCTACATTCTTTATGCATTTTTAAGTTTTGAACTCCCCCTGTATTAAGGGAAATGGTGCGATTTAAAAAAAAAATTTGTTGATTGAAAAAAATATTTCAATATTATTTATTACTCATAAAAAATTGTATTGATCCATACATTTTTCAAAGGTTATAGCATAACTATTGAAAATTTTTAATTTTTAGTAAAGAAAATATTGTTTAATTCAAAAAACTCTACAATAATATGTAGTAAAAACATATTTTTTTTCATCCCTTCAAGGTTAAAAAACATTAATTTGAATTTTTTTAATAGGAACCCCTACTTTGAATTTGTTATTATGATTTAAAATAAAAATACAAACAACTTTGATCCGATAATTTTTTTTTTCAATCAACCGTTTGTTTGTTACAGCTTGTTAAAGTTAAATGATTTTGGACTAAATTTCTATTATTATATTACTGTTTTCAATACATATTATTGTAGAGTTTTTTGAATTAAACAATATTTTCTTTATCAAAAATTAAAAATTTTCAATAGTTACCGAGAAAATGAGTGTCTTATCCTTAATGAATCACTCTGTATATTATGTTAACAGAAGATGTGATGGTTCAAGTAGAATGTGTGTACCATAATTACATAACTTAGTTTCTCACGTTGAGGAGATTAAAGAGGCTACTTCTCAGGACTCGATATTATTTTCTGAAAAATTTACTCAGACTAACATTAATGCTATGTTTAATACGTTTGAAACGCAAACAGACAAATTTGATTTAATAGATTGCCGGACACAAACTATTCTATTGTCAGAAGATATAATTTAAAAAATACAATCCATAGCATAACCCCATAAATCAAACACATTATCCAAAAGTTATACGAACAGCTTCACGGNTCCAAAAGTTATACGAACAGCACTGCTTCACTGTGTTATATCTTGTCTATTCCAAATGATCCTCATTTGGACAATTTGAAAGAATTGTCTTTAGAAGGTATATTTAATTTAAAATTGAGACACAATTAATTTTGTATAATAATTTTTTTAGATTATGATTTCGTTGAAAAACGAAATAATCTAAAAATAACGTATCTCTCTCAAGAAGAGAATGATACGAATGATATGAAAGAAAACATAATTAGAGAAATAAAGACTGAACAAAATTCCAATAAACAAATTAAACTAGTAGAAGAATTTGGGGAACATGATTTGCAGTCATGTCCTTTGTGAATGTACCGTACATTCAAAACTTAGCAATAATAACTACATAATATCATCAAAAAAATTAATTATATTTTCTTAGTTGACTAAATTTGTATTTAGAAATAATTTTTTGGAATTTTTATTATGTAATTGAAAAAAAAAATTATTTTCTTAGTTTGTTCAAGATAAAGTTATGTATTTAAAATGGTTTTTTATATACTAGATTGTTCTTTTTTAACAATTAGTTTTGAGATGTTTAAAAATAAAAAGTGATATAGGTACTTTAGATTAATAAAATTGATTGTATGTAGATTTTCATGTGGCCTCAAGTATTTATATTAATGAATGGAAGACATAGTTTCGATTCTATTTGTTAAAATATGGTAAATTTTACGAAATTGAAAAAATTATTTGCTGTATTTTATTTAATATCTTGAAAATAAATTATTTTACTTATATTTTCAATATATTTTTTTTTATATTGATTATCCAGTAAAATTACAAAATCGCCTTATTATTATTTAAATGCAAATTTGAATAATTTAGCTTACCAGAATTCAATGATGAATGGTTTATAATTAGCTATAATAATTAACTATAATACATTTTTAAATATTTGTGGGAGAGTCAATACATAATATCCTACTGGAAGTAGCTCTACATACAATAGAAATACTATCTTATTCAATAAATATTTTAAACTTTTATTAAAATTTTTTTACTCAATTTATTAATTTTAATTTATTAAAAAAATTTTTTATTACTGACTGTTTGAAGCATCTTTCATTAGTGGATCTAATGTAATAAAAACTACATCAACAGAACTTTTAGCTTTTCCGCCTACCATAGAAAATATACTTTAACCACTTCCTTTCATCCAATTGAAAAGATCGGTTTTTCCATTATGCCATATATTCAGATATAAAAAGTAAGAGAAAGAATACTTTTTTTTTATAATTTTATTTATTATTAAAAAATTATAAGAGACCCGTCAAAAAATGTTTTTCCAATATTTTCTGAGGTAAATTTAATAGTTAAAAAAATTATAAACATTTATGTATCTATCATAAACAGTGTTACCTAATGACAGAATGTCATTAGGACAAAATAAGTTGATCATTAATTCATCTCTTATGTTAATACAAATAAAAGAAATAAATATAAAATTGTAAATGGTATATATATAGTTATTTAATTCAAATTTATAAATACAAACTATTTACAATTAAAGTTTTTTTTTTCAAATTCAAAATTAATTAATTATTAAAATTAATCTAAAAAATATTTCTGATACTCGTATGACGTATATTATTATTCTATTTAACAATTAATATTTTGATTATTTTTATATAATGTTTAGAGAAGTAGAGCATAATGCACTATTTTTCACTATTCACTATTTCTTTAAATAGTGAATAGTGGATTAAATAGTGAATTGGATTAAATACCAAATTACCGATAAATCTAAATTGAAGTTAATTTGAATTAATTTGCGTACCACGCAAATCATAACAGATATCACAAGTTTTAACAAAAATTATTCATTTTATGATTTTGCGCCATCCGGGATATTGTACCCGGATAGTAGGCATCGCTGCCCACCTTGGTATATCCATGAATTTGAGAAATTATATATGCAATCAATTTTTTATCGATATAATGGATTTTAATGGCTTTTCAATGAATGATTAGTCTAAAATAATTATAATTTTTCGAAAAGGGGTTAATAATAAATTTACATATAAAGAATCCGGGTTCAAGCTGTAAATATATATATTTTACATCATTAAAATGTTTAGTAAGAAAAAAAAACAACTATATAAATGATTTAGTGCAAATAAAAGTTCAGTATTTTATTGTAGAAAATTACTGTAAATTTATTATTTTTTTGTACTTTTTGTCAAAAGTTTAAAAAACCAAGAGCCGGTCGAAGAATATGAATTGTTTACGACCGTAGATATTGCCCAACAATTTCTCTCATAGGGGTTACTTGGATACTCTAATACCATTCGCAAATTATTAAACTCGATAGGAAATTTTATACGCTTTTCGTTGGTATTTAATTTTGTAATGAACACCACTCAGATCTTTGGCAAAAATACAATATATCATATTTTTTAACAAAGTAGCGCCCTCTAGCGGTATATTTGCTTCTTGTATCTGATTAAAAATTGCTATAAAGGATTTGCTAACATCAAACACATGTTAAAAGATAGTAATAAAAGTGATAAACCATGTTATCATGATTTTTTATTTAAAACTATTTACAGTTTGTAGTTATGCGACTTTCAAAATTAACTTGTTGTATTAGGTGTCTTATATTGATTTATTGACATTTCTATTAGATTAATACGCCTTTACAGTCTTGAAAAAGCTATTTAAAATCAGTTTATTTTTATTATAGTAATTTAAAAGGTAATGATGAACGAGGAAAATGATATAGATGAATGGATTTTTAATTCTTTTAAAAAGTAATACCTTATAATTATGTTGATGAAAATATTTTCATATAGTTATTACTTACTATATATTTATTATGCATTAACAGATACCACAAATTGCAAATGTTTGGTATTGATAAATCTATTATTTCAATGGAATTAAGTAGCTCTTCAAGTATTTGCTTAGCATGTAATAAAAAAGAAAATATTGGTTTTGAGATATTAGATTTAGAATTACCAAATAAATTATTTCAATTAGAAAATGAGCCAGATTCACTTAATACTAGTCGAGATCTTAAGATGAAATGTGGCACTCTAACTAAAAATTCACTAATTGATGTAAGCATGATTTATAGAATTTAAATGAATTTATCACTAACAAAATTCAATAAAATATTAACTCATACAGAATCAACAGACACTACTAAATGTTTAGTATTTTAAGAGTTAATCTATATAAGTACTGAAACTTAATAAAATTTTATTTAAAAAAAAGATTTTATAATTTTAAACCTTGAAAATAAAATAAAAATATTATTATTGAGTTTATCATAATCTCTTTTTATTTCAATTTTAAATATAATTAAAATAAAGTTGTATAATAATTATTTTTTGTCAAAGTAATATTTCATTTATATTAATTATTCCAATTATTTTATTACTTTAATGTCATATTATTAAATTAGCTAAAATAATCATAAATTGATCATTGAACATTACTTTTTCTGTATTGTCACTAAAATAAAATAAATATATATTTCTTCAAACTCTTAATTAATTAATTTGATTGATAAATTAAAAAGTACACCAATTTTTTAATATTTTATTTTTCCAAATTTTTGAAAATATTTATCAAAATAATTGCATATAATCAATTAATAATAAAAATAATTCTAATAATAATGAATTAATATTTTATTTACAGATGAAAACTCTTTTTAATAAAAACAAAATTATTTTATCTGAAAAAGGTATTAAAAATGTTTCTTTATATCAAGTAAACACTAATAATTCAGGTAAAAAAAATTTTTTTTATTAGTATTTAAGAAATTATTTCTTATTATTTATTCAGTGGTGCATCTCATGTGTAGGTTAGCAGAGTGATACTTAAAAGTCTCTGAACCTATATCTCCCAAAGCTTTTTTTACTCATTGTATCAGAATTTAACAATTTTCTTTAAAGTAGCTTTGAATTTGAAGAGGCCTTATAAATCTCACTTGACCTAAAGGGCCCTAATCCTTAGGTCAAGTCGTGCGATTATATAACTCATTGTCTCATTAGTTTAAATTTTTTAAATTTACTAATTTATTTTGTAAGTATTTTATAATTACCTTGTGAAAAGGTCAGTTAAATATTAAAAATTTAATTTTAAAAGGAAAAAATCATTTTCAGATCAGATGTGTCCACTGTTGTCTTTTGATAGTAAAATAGATGGTGGAAAATTAGCAGTTCATCAACTAAATAATTCTTTAGTCATATGGGGAAAAGAAAATGTAAAGCAATGTGGCCATATATTTGATATTGAAAAAAATAAATGTATGCAGACATTGGGAGATGAAGATAATGATTTAATTAGCAGTTACTTACCACAGTTTACATCAAACAATGAATTATTAGTTCTAAACTCTGACACAGGTTCCTTCACTTTATATAATCTGATTGATGGTCAGAAAATTTCAACTGTTAGTCAGCAAGGTAATTAAGACAAATTTACTTAAAAATTTTTATAAATAATTTTAGTATAAACTTTGTTTTTAGAAAATAATTCACACAAATGGATTGCTAGTTCTATCCCCAATACCTTTAAGAATAATAGTATTAATAATAATATAACTATGGTATCCAATGGTGGTGAATTGCTTATGTATGATTTAAGATTCTTAAAAATACCAAAAGTTCATAAAAAAAATGTATTTCCTAAATGTAGTAATAAATTAGGAATCTCCATGGATCCAAATAATTTTAAAAATTATGCAATTAGTGGATTTGATGAAAACATTTATATTTATGAAGAGTTAAATAATGAAGATTTCAAGTTAAAATTCAAACATGAAGGCCATTTATATACTGAAAATGATAACTCATCTTATAACAATGTAACAAGTGGTGCTGTATGGTTACCGATGTGTGGCAACAACACTTTGATATCTAGTGCTAATGATGGATCTATACAAGGATGGCAATATATTTCTTAGAAAATAAAATTAAAAAACCAAATCTAATTAAAGTTTTAAAAAATATTTATTTGAAATAAAAAACATGGATGTTATAAATCCACATTTTTTTTTACACTACATTTTTTCCATATGCAACATGTATTATCTTTCGAAGCTGTAAAAATTTTATCACCAAAATAACTCATTTCTATGGAAAATACTTGGTCAGTATGATTTACTAGTTTTTTTATACAATCTCCTGTTTCAGTATTCCAAATCATTGAACTATGATCATGTGAAGCTGTAAGCAAGTGCTTCCCTGAAGGCTCCCAGTATACCTATATTAATAAAAGATTAACTTTTATACAAAATAAATTTAAATAAAAAATTATTAAAAACAACAATTTAATAGGCAATTTTCTGAAAATTGCTTAAAAAAATATTATATATTATAAATTAATAAATTTAATTTATATATAAGAATATACCTTTGATACTTCTTCAGAATGGCCTATCATTGGACATATCAATTCTCCATTATCTACATTCCAAATACATGCAGTACAATCACTGCTTGCTGTAGCTAAACGGCGTCCCATCCGATCAAAAGATATATAAAGTATCTATAGCAAAAGATTAAAATAAAAAAAAAGTTCAAAGAAATTCTTATACAAACCTCATCTGTGTGACCAGCAATTGTGCATCGAGAAGTGTTAGTTCTTGCATCCCATATTTTGGCTGTGCTGTCTAATGATCCACTTGCAATAGTATTACAATCAAAGTCATAACAAATCATACTAAGCTCTGCTGAATGTTCAGAAAGTGTTGAGATACAACTATTATTAATACAAAGAACTAATTATTCCAAACATAATTATTAATTTTGGTATACAATATTTTAATAATTAATTACTTGGGAACTCTTGTGTCCCATATTCTAATAGTACCATCAAATGATCCTGTTATAATATTAAATCCATTATCATGAAATTGATTTGCAATAACTTCACCAGTATGACCTCTTAGTATTTTTAATGTTTGACCTATATTATTAAATTCATTACTTGTGATAAATAAAACAGTAAAACTATTTTCTACTAAATAGTAGAACTATGTAGACTATCTAAATGCACAAATTTAAAATAAATTTGTTTTTCCATATAAATTGAAAAGTATTAACCCCACCTGTTAATTATTTAAAATTAAAAATATATTTAATTTATTAATTTAAAACTAAAGAATATTTAACTCAAGTAGCCACAAAAGTATGTGTTTAACACTGATGATGATAATCTCGTTTATTTAAATAATTTTTGTAGCTTTCTGAGTTAAATAGTTTTAAATTTTTTAATTTTAAATAATATTAGCCAAAAGAGCAATTTGTATTATACCACTTATTCATCACTGATTATTTCCAAATAAGTTTTTCAAACCTGTTATAGTGCTAAATAATCTAGTGGTTTTATCCATAGAGGAAGTAGCTACAATTTGTTTGCATTTACTTATGTCTGTTGCAACAATTTCTCTTGTATGTCCATGCATAGTACTTAAACATTCATTATCATCAGTTAAAGACCAAATTTTGGCAGTTCTATCAAATGAACCTGTCAAAACTCTGAAAATTGATTTTAATTATAATACTATTATAAAATTAAAACATTTTAAGATTAAAAATATTCGATTCTTTTAACTAGCCTTCCAGGTATCTCGAGTGATACATTAAAAACTGTATTATCATGTCCTCTAAGTGTAAAACTTTCTTTACAGTCTGAAGTGTTCCAAATTTTACAAGTTCTATCATAACTTCCAGTGGCACATCTAAATAAAAAGGCAGTCTTAATAATTAATACTAATTTTATTTTTTTGATGAATAAGGACTTGTGTTATACATTTCACCGTATTTGTCAATTGATATATTTGTGATTGGTAGTAAATGACCTTTAAGTAACCCATGTTGTTTAAATTCTAAATAAAATGTTTCATTTAAAGACAAATCCTTTATTTTCTGTAATATATTTATAAATTTAGGCAAAACCTTAGGTGAAATTAAAGGTTCCCTACTTGCAATCTGAGTAGCTAAAAATTCGACATTAGTTCTAAAAAAAATTTTAAATATTTATGTCAATAAAATAAAAAAATTTCCTATATAAGACCAAAAATAATAAAATAGTGAACCTACTCTTGATTGACCTGATACAGTTTTAAAAATTTTTGTTTTATGTTTCCTTTTTTTGAATACTCTAAAACAATTCCTGAATCAAAACAAAACAGTGCTTAAATCATATAAAAATATTTTACTAATTATTGTACATTATAATTCTGTGCAATTATAATATTTTTAATAATACTAATGATTTTTGTTTTATTTTAACAGTATTTTATGTAAATAAACATTTTTAAAATCCAAAAACAAACCTCCATACATTTTTTGAGGCATAATAGAAAACATTTCTTTAAAAAAAGGATAAAAAAACCAATTTTTGTCACTTATCAGCTTTTAAATATAAGACATTGAATATTAAATTTAGTAAAATACTAGTACAATTACTGGTCTTTTATGGATCGTTTAAATGGAGAAGTAGTAATTTTTATACTTAGATAATTGTACCAATTTTATAAATACTATATTTATGATTTAATAATCACATCAAGTATAAAAAACAATATTTTTTAGTTATTTTACCTGGTGGATAATATCTTAAATACAGTGTTATTAATTTCATAAAAAATAATTATGAAATAAAATATAAGCTATGACAAGGCTTAGCCTTTAGAAAAAGAAGAAGAAAAACTAATTAATAATAGACTTTATATTTATTTAAGATATATATTGATATTTAATATATTCACTTTATAAGCAAAACTTTTAACTGACTTTTTCTGTCACCATGGTTTCAAGACAAAAGTTACTTCTTTATGGAAGTTATTTCCATAGAAATAGGTTTTTTATTTATATTTTTACAATATTACAGATTAAACAAATTTTAATTCATCAAAAAATATATTTTTCGACCTATTTTTAAGATAACAAAAAAATCAATATTCAACACTAAAACTTATCTTATAAGTATGAGTAAACATTAATTTTTTAATTAGAAAAAACTATATTAGACTTTATTTTAGTAACCAATGGGGGGAGGTTAGGGGTTGCAGCCCCTTCCTTAAAATGAATATTTATTTATGAACTTTTGTTGTCACTAATTACTTTTAAGTCATCCAATTCTTTTAGTCAACAATTATTGAATTTTAGAATATTTTAGAGTAAAAAATTACTTAAAAGTCGCCAATAAAATGATTTTTTATAATAACATCTCACCCTTTCCGAATAAAAATCTGGTTGCACCATAATACGCATTTAATTTAAAATTGTATAGTATTAAGTTCTTCAAAAATAAGTCATTATAGTATGATTAATGCATGCCAAATTGTGAAGAGAATATTATTTAAACAAATATTATATTTGTATTTTTTACATATATTAAATCACATGACTATTTAAAAAAATGTTAATATTGTCAAGATTTTTAAGTTCCCAATTATGGGACAAGTAAAAATGCAATATTTCCAGGTATTTATCTAAGGCTTCATAAATGTAAATAAAAAGTTTAAAAAGGTCATTTAATTATTAATGTATAAAAATTAATCATTTTTTTATATTGTGCTCTGCAATATTTAGTGTTTAAACTGGCTAAAATAAATTGTTTTAATTTTTGTAAAATATCTACTTTGCTTATTTGAGCTAAATTATAACAAATAGTTGACTAATCTTCCTAAATCAAGGATTTTAGGGTGACGTGATTTTTTAAAATTATATGCCCCTAATTTTTTTAGAGTACACTTTTTTCAAAATAATACATGATTTTAATACATACAAGAAAATATATACATATAATATCAAATTAATTTTAATTCATTAAAGATCAAGGAAAAGGACTTTTTAAGATTTCAGAGTACCATTATTGGTATGATTTGACTCAATAACAAGATTTCAAAATATGCAGCTCTTAAAATCTAAATAGATTCTTTTTAATCAAATATTTTCCTAATAATAGGAATATATTTAAAAAAAAATTCAATCATCAGAATAAAGACAATAAAATTTAAAAAATTATAATACAATATATATTTATTGAGAACAATAATAAAACTTTATAAAAAATAATAAGGTATTTCATGTATTATTTTAGCTGCTACAATTAAGCAAAATTTACACTATCCTAGCATTATAATTTAAACAAATACTTAGAATTTTTATAAAAAATAAATGGAAAATTAATTAATTATATATTCATTAATTTATTAAAAGGTTAATTCTTATTCATATGTCTGTAAATATATTTTTACAATAAATAAGAAAATTAAAACAATATTTTTAAGGTTAACATTTAAAAAATGAAATAACTTTAAAGTACTTTAAATGATAAACAAATATCAATTTTTTTTAGATAATATTTCAATTCTTAAAGAATTTTAAATAGGTTTTGTAAACAAAAATTAGTAAATGCTGAAAAAATTAATCTTATATAAAATATCTTTTTACACAGTTTTGTTATAACTAAGCACATATTAAAAACTATTTTTTAAAGTTTTTATGACAAAAAAAGAACAAATATTAACATTTAAATAAATTTGAATTAAAATTAAACGACAAAACAAGACATTTGGATAGTTTTTCTTTTATAAAATATCCAATTATAAAACTCATTAATTCCATGTAATAATAAAATTAGAATAACCAGTTAAGTATAACATTATTTGAAGACAAAAAAATCACAAAATTGAATTGGTATAATTTCCACAAATAGGTCAACAATTGCACAAGTAATTATATTAAACATAGATCAATTTTACAATTTTTTTGACTTGATAGCTTTGTTAAGTTCAGCTTTAGCTGTTTTTTTTATATTTTGGTCAGCTTCAGTCAATTCATTAAATTTTTTGTTAGCTACAAATAAAAATAATTTTGGGTTACACAACTTTCATAAAAAATTTATGTCTATGTAGCGAGCTTATCTTACCAGCCTTTTTACGTTTTTTACTAGCGTCATCATTAGTTTTAACTTTTGATTTTTGTTTACCAAGTCCAAATGATATGCTTAGGTTTCCATTGACATTGAAAAATTCATAAACAATCCAAATTTGAACAGCTAACGCACTAGCTGATGCTAATAACCTTAACAATGGTGTATTAAAGTCTCTCTGCTCCCCACTATATTCTACACTGGCAAGACCAAACCACAATGTTACTTGTGAAACAATAAATATTAACACTTGTACAGCAAGGAATATCCAGTTGTAAACACTTTGTGCAACTTAAATCATAAAATATAAACAAAATTAATGCTTGAAAAATTATAAACATTTTAAAAAGAATAAATGTGAGTATAAAAGTTATGTATGTTTATTTATGTAAAAATAATGAGAATATTCTTTCTTTTGATTTCTTGTAATTTCAGTTAGTTATACAACAGCTCATAAAAAGATGGTGTGATAGTAGTATACAGAAAAAAACTGGCTCATCGTGTTACTATAATATGGTACAGAAGCTAAGTGCCTAATGAAGCCAAAAGACTACAAAAGTATTTTGTAAGTAGTTGTGACAGTAGCACACAATATGTCCCACTGTTTATAGTATCAATATTAATTTATATATTTAGACAGCTCACTCATCATTAATTTTTTTGTTTAAAAATATTTTTACTGACAATAAAGAAATTTTATATATTAAAATAATATAATAAAAAGTAAAAATGTTGATATTATTCTATTCTTTCGTTACTCAAATATACTTTTTGACTTTGCCTTCAATACTTAAATTTTTGATTTAGCGAATTTAAAAAAATGGTTTAAGATTTTGAGCCAGTTATTTTCAAGTAAAGTAAACTAAATTCAACTTAATTGGACCCTGGTAGTAAACTGATATTGTTTCACAAATACATGGTTATAATACAAATAATAATGAAAAATAACCACTTTACAGCTCTTCATATAAAAAGTTTTAATATAGCAAAACAACCAAAAAATACCCATATTAGTCATAGCTAATTCTAATGACTTAATTAATGTCATAGTTACATTTATTATTATTGTAATATAGTCAGATTTTTTTTTATTACTCATTATTCATACAATTTTATTAAAAAAATTTTTTATTTTTTTTATAAACTTACATTTTACTTTTTTACTATCTTCTTCTTTTTCGGTAATATCAATTAACTGTACAGCATGATAAACTACTCCAGAAATGTAATGCAATAACAAAACCACAACTCCAACTCGGTTAAAACTAAACAAAATTTTAAGTATTTTTATACAGCATTACATTAACCACAAAATATTTCAAACAAATATTACTTTGTAACATAAATAGTTGAAACAAATGCCATGTATAAAATAGAATATTTGATTTTATTGAACATTTCTTCTTTCTTAATTTTTTGGAAGTAGAGTTCGGGTAAAATATGAGCCCAATAAGCAAATTGAATTATATAAAAGAATTTTGTTGAGAATGATAATGTATTATGTGGATATCCATTCCATAGTAATGATAAGTTAGCTAACCAATTTTCTCTAAAAAGATTAACTTATATTAAATTTCATAATATTTACTCAAATAGTCCTATAATAAAATAATAAATTATCATACTTAACAAGAATATCTAAAGCCCAAACCATTGATACTGCATTAAATACAATTAATTGTCCTGATTCATAAAATTTTGAATTTTTTGATTTTGATAAATGTAATTTGCGACTAACTTTCTAAAATTAAAAAAATACTTAAATTAACAATGACTTCAAAAAAAGCAATTTACTAATTTTTTTTTGTTAAATGCTTAGTTATTTTTTTTATACTTACATCCAATACATATTCTTGAATGATAGCATGGAATATTATACAAATTAGAAAATAAAAGAATGTTGCCAATAAATCTTTTAAGCCAGTACCATATGTTAGAATAGCTTTATTTTCTTCTATAGATTCTCCATATTGTAAAGCAACAAACAAGTAGGCTAATGGTGATGTAAACTGTAAAGCCATGTTTAATTAGAATATATTTAAAATAAAACCTAACTTCAAATTAAAACACAATTAAATTTATTAACTTACTTGTACCATAAGGCCAATTACAATTACCATAGCAACACATGAGACAATATCTGCATGGTTTTGAATTACAAATTCATGGCTTAAAACTGGTACATTTTTATTAGCAGACTTCCTTCCTTTAATTGGAGCCATTCTACGAAAAATAAATTAAATTTATTTTAAAAACACTAATCTAGTTTTCAAAATGTTTATATAACACTATATACTTTGCAATACCTTTAATTCCTGAACAAAATTAAAGTCTAAATGCCACACGACAATTCAGGACCGAAAGTAGTTGAACTACATAGAGAATTTAAAAGTGATTGTTGGCACAAACATTTGAATGTGTGGCACGTATGTTGGTCGTTTACTGGTTGCTGATGTGTCGAGTTCAATACACGATCACTTGTAAGTTTGTTTACATCTTGTACTGATAACATATATAGTAATTGATAACACGTATTTACAATTTATCTTTGATAAAAATCATAGTTGCTTTGGCTAGTTAGCACCCCCAAGTAGATTTCACCGTTATTTTAAAATATTTTAATAATAATAAAATAATTCTTTATATAATTGTATAAATAATTACTTTTTTTTTTAAATATTATGAGTGTGCAATGTTATCGCTACACTGTGCCGACGACATTGTACAATGAAGTACACGTGTATATTTCACTTTAAACATAATTATGTGTTTTGGTTTAAACAATTTTAAATAAAATACCATAGTGGTAGAAAAAATGTATATAAATTTATACATGATTGTAGATTAAAAGAATGTTCGATTAGGGATAGTAACGATCAATCGATATTGCGATGATGTCGATATTTTTACTCGATATATCAAAATAATCTATTTAAAATTAAAATTATGCTAAAAATATTAATTTAAAACTAAAAAATATTTTTAATTTTAAATAAGTAGCCGCTAGTGATCAATTTTTATTATATCAATATAATTATTCGATATTTATTATTAGGTTAGAGGTGTGAATTCAAGTCTTGAAGGAACGGGATTAAGAATAAGTAGGAGTAAGACAAAGTATATAGAGTACAAGTTTGACAAAGGAAAATTCGAGTTAATAAAATGAGCATATCAATAACAATAAGTGAGAACGTGATAGGAGAGGTGGAAAAATTTAAGTTTTTAGGATCAGTTGTGCAAAATAATGATGGTTTTGACGAGAATTTAAAACACAGGATTGTGTGTGTGTAAAGTGGAGAAAAGCATCTGGTATGTTAAGCGATATGAGAATCTTAATGAGGCTGAAAGGTATATTCAATAAGACTGTAGTGAGACCAGCTATGATGTATGATTCAGAGCGTTGGAGGATTGACAAGAAAATAGAGTACAGAATGAGTGTAGAGTGCTTAGATGAATGAGTAGAGTGACTTAGATGGTTGGTCATGTTATGAATCGTAACGGAAGCTGTGAGAACAGTTCTGGAAATTAATATTAAAGGAAAAAGAGGTAGAGGTCCAAAAAAGAGACGGAGGGATGTTATTGAATGCGAATGAAGACGGTTGATGAGTGGGTAGAAGATGTGTGAGATCTCGTCAAGTGGAGGCTTAGAATAAGATAGTAATCTAAATAATTGGGATAAAGACAAAGAAAAAGAATAACAAAAAACTACTTTCTGAAAATTTGGTTTTTGGTAAATTATATATATATATATATATTTGTACTTTATAACTCTATAATTTCTCCGTACAATATTAAATTATTGAATACAAATTTCATATTAAATTAAATTATTATAATTATTATGTATTCATATATTATAATTATTAATCAAATAACTAATCGGTATAAAATTAAGGGAATAAGAGTTATTGTTGCTTTTGAAATAACCCAACAATTTCTTAAAATTGAACAATATCTTCAGATATGCATCAAAGTGAGTTTTATGATATTGATTTTAATCACTGTTATATATCATCTATACTTATCCTAACGATTCGACGTCCGCACTGTACACCCAAAGAAAAACCTCAATCAAAATTGAAAGAGAAATTTTATCAAGGGTTTATGATAATGTTTTATTAATACGAACAAAATAACTATTCTTATAAATAATTATTGTTCGAGACAAGAAAAAAAAATATCATATTGATAAATATATCATTGATTCAATAGTAATGATATATTTATCAAATTGAACAATGAATTTATTATATAGATCGAGGTTTTTCTCTGGGTGTA